TTGAAAAATAACATGTAATCTAAATTAAATTTTCCTTAAGCTTTAAAATAATATGCATGCCATAATACTATAATAGGGCCTCGGCTTTAATCTTCTATTTGTCATAATGACTACGTTTTAAAGGCGGGTTAGTAACCACAGTTTTCTATTATTTGATTATGAGCTCATAATAAGAAGATCCTGCTGCCCATCTCCTGTGTTAGTTTCCCATCTGTCATCTTTTACATCTCCTTCCTATTATATAAATGTTTTGTGTGGGCTACTCTACACGTCAACCGCGGTATGATTTAATAGTGTAGTCGATGCTCTTCTCGCTTTCTCGAGTTAATTTTAATTAGGCTTTCATTAGCAAAATGTAAATTTTGAATCGATTTTTTATGTTTCTTTTGTTAACATAAAACACAATTGGGACCGTGTTGTACAGAAACGTTACAACCCACAAAAACAAATATATATATATATATATATATATATATATATATACTATATATATATATATATATATATATATATATATATATATATATATATATATATATTTGTTTATAACTGAAAAAAGAGCCTCTGGATCATGTACTCTGTGAGAGCGTTGTCCTTCCTCGGTCGAGCCGACCCATTCGTGCTACATCGATACAAATAATATAGCTGCAGCAAGGCTCTACCACGTATAATGAAGATACGGAAAGAATCGACTTATGCTGTAGTTAATGTTACCGTTACCTATCAAAAGTCGACTGCAGAACATAGACCCCCCAGACTGCCTCATAGGGGGGATATTTGCTATAGTTGCCATGCTAGGCAGGCGAGTTGGCTACCGCAGTTTATTATTTTTAAGTTGTTATTAGGAAGACGCTGCTGCCTCTTGATTTGTTTCCCTCTGTCGCTTCTTACGACACGCGCAGGACGATAAGGGGTAGTGGATATTCTTACACTGTAACTACACGGTCAATGGCTACGCTGTACGTGCAGCTCAATAAATAAATTATACATATGTACGCTTCTGCTTTACACATCGTTAAAGGTGGAATCCTCCTTAACGATATCCTAAATTTTATTACGTCAAAATTTAGTGACGAGTTGGTGATAATTAATCTAGAGGATATATCACCTTTTTGAGAGGATTCTAGCTTGAATTCAAGTCAGTTGTCGTCCTTCGTAAGCATCTGTAGCATTTATTATCAAGTTTGTTAGAACAATTCAGAATTTTGACAGAAATAAGTGATAAAATTCAAAATTTTGTACAACCGACTTCAATTAAATTATTAAGAATAACTCAAAAACTACTGATCATACTTTGATCAAATTTATATGGCACCACATAAGAAGCACCAGCTTTCAAATAAAAAATCGATTTATCTAGAAAAAAGTTATGAGATAATACATATAAGAAAAAACATACAGACCAATTGAGTACCTCCACCTTTTTGAAGTGGATTAAAAAGTAAAAAAATTAATGCATTTATAATGAGATCTTTTTACTTAGTTTAGACGGTTTCATTTTGTTTGTATGTTTAAGATGTACGATAGTTTATATATATTGTTCCCAAGTTTTCTATTTCAACAGTTTTTACTTTCTCGAGAGATGTTATCGCTCGACGCAACGCACATTGAACGTTCACGTTATGTAACGAAATTCTCATAAGGTTTGTGTCAAATTAACTGTACTTTTATGAAATGAACCATCGTTAAATTGACGCTTTCTTATATATAGTAACTATTATTTTTGATTGATACCTCTTTTCGTTAATCTCTAAACAAACATAAGAGTGAAAAACCGCTTCCAAAAATCGTTGCAGTTCTTCATTGATAGTCTATTTTTCAATTATGATTCTGGTTTTGGTTAAGGTATGGGTTTTAAGATATCTGTTCCAAATAAGAATTCTATATTATGTTCTTTAAGGTTCAGATAGAGATGAAGAAATCGTCGCAGCGTTGTTGTATAGCTTTATTTCTATATAATTATCTTTTTATATCATTGATTAAGTTTATTCTAAATTCATTTGACCTCAAAGATCTAAACGATTTCCTACAGAAAGTGATATATATCCTTATGAGAGTACAAAGATTTCAGACTAACGTATTACCTATTTAAGGCACCGCTGGTAACACTGAACTGATTAAAAAATTCGCGAAGAAACCTGGATGTAGGAAAATTATAAAGTGATTTTCTTTTTAGTCAAATATTTCAAAGACATGTTGAAGACGTTAGGAAAGTGTTGGAGAACTTTTCTGCTCTATAATACTAAGAAATGAGAGAGCCTTGCCAGAGAGGCCCACAGGCCTTTATTTTTATACCTTAATTTTCAAGACATTACAAGTCAGATTTTTTCAGATATATCAACCGAATTAAAATCCCGAAAAATTGAAATCGTACTGATAACCTGATACACTTCGAAGCAACTAAAAATAAAACCTTCTTCGTATGTTTTATTTCATCTAAATTGATGCTGTATACATTAGTAAAAAGGCAAAGGCGAATATCTATTTATACTAAAAAAATCAGACCGTTTCTGTGGCAGTCTTTTTGTGTGGATACTGTGGCATACAGACGTCTACATCTATTCTCGATTAAGAATTAAAATAAAGATGTGTTGTCACCTATGAGAACTAAGATGCAGTGCCCCGTTAGCAGTAAAACGGGTCTCCGGTTCTCTACATACTATACGAAACTCAACAGCATTCTGTTGATTGACGCTGCTATTACAGTAGATTATAGATTACGTAGTCTGCCTTCAGTCAAGCCGACCTGTTCGTGTTGCAGGCAAATATAGCTGCAGCAAGGTTCTAAGCTCTTTCTTCAGTTTTTTCTTCTTTAGTTTTTTAATGTTTTATTAACAAAAAGACAGTGATTGACGTTGATATTATAGTAGATTATAGATTACGTGGTCTTCCCTCAGTCAAGCCGACCTGTTCGTGTTGCAGGCAAATATAGCTGCAGCAAGGTTCTAAGCTCTTTCTTCAGTTTTTTCTTCTTTAGTTTTTTAATGTTTTATTAACAAAAAGACAGTGTAGTGTGTTTGCTATAAATAAGTATCATTTATGTAAAAGAAAGATTTATTATGCGGGTTTCTTTTATGTTTTGATATTGTCATGGTTAATTTTTTGAGTTTACTTCCCTCTTTAGAAAAAAGTATTCCATATATTATGTATAATGTAAATTTTACTTTAAATCCATATACGAGCACATATTATTGCTTTGAGAATCGACATCGACTAGAATTAATATTACATGTCTCAAGTTGCGTATTTTTTTTTAAAAATAAGATCAACGCCAGATGTTTTAATTTAATTTTCATAATTTTTGTGAAAATTCTTACTTAACTAAAAAATTAAGAACGTAATTTTTTTATAAGCAAAAACTAATATAATCGCTACTAAGAATGTGTAATAAGTACATTTTAGTTTCTACATACAAAACATAAAAATAACGTTATAAAGATTAATGATATTTTTAACGCAGATGGTATTTCATCATCATCATCATCATCATTACAGCCCTTCACAAGTCCACTGCTGAACATAGGCCTCCCCCAAAGAATGCCACAAAGCACGGTCCTGAGCCACCTGCATCCATCGACTTCCTGCATGTCTTACCAGGTCGTCACTCCATCTCGTGGGGGGAAGCCCTACACTTCGCCTACCGGTACGAGGCTGCCATACATATTACGGCACATCTTCTCGTCAGGTATACCTCAAACCTTGAAAACGAGACTGTACACTCAGTGCGTGTTGCCAGTGATGACATACGGAACTGAGACGTGGTCCTTCACTGCTGGCCGGATGAGGAAGCTCAAGGTCGCTCAGCGAGCTATGGAGAGGGCTATGCTCGGAGTTTCTCTGCGTGATAAACTTAGGAATGAGGATATCCGCAGTAGAACCAGAGTAACCGACATAGCCCAACGGATTAGTAAGCTGAAGTGGCAATGGGCCGGCCATATAGCTCGATGGTATTTAGTGCGTAGGAATTGAAGGTTATTTCTGTTTGTCAAATAGCAGTGCTTGCACTGCTATGTTTTGGTCTTAACACGCATTTACATTTTATTTAAGTAATGATTCGGCGACGGCAGGCGAAGAATTCAGTGCCTTAGTGAAATCGCAATATCAGTAAAATAGTTTCAATTATGAGCAAAGAGACATTCCATCTTAGTCCTCAGACAGACAACGCATCCGTTGCTTACTTTATTTGAAGTAGGCTGCAGGTGTTCTAGAGCTGCAATAGCCACTTACATAATTAGGAAAAAGTCACGCTATGACGTAATTGAAGATGAAACGTATTCATATCCACCTCGAGTCGGATAGCGGACGAAATATGCGCGCGACGGATGGTTTCCCTCGTGAAAAAGTCGCTAATACAACTAACATCTTGCATGACTGCATGGCCAGTGAATGCTTTCTATTTGCTTATATCGTATGAGGAAAAACAAAAGAACAGTCTTTTTATTCAATGTAGATTAGATTATAAATAATATTTATTGAAAGTCTTATTCTTATTGAAAGATTTATGCTTTTACCACTAGTTGGAAATAAACCTCTGTTCTATGAAGAACCAGTAAGAATTTTTTTTTAGTAATACGTCGTTCAATAATGTATGATATACAGTTTTAAAAAAAAATTAAAAGAGAGATTAATTTCCAGATGCTATTAACAATTTTGTATCAGTTTTTATCTAATAAAACTTAAAAAAATTGATATATAAATTTGTATTGCACAAATACTTCATTATAAAATCGATATGTATGGCAGTTAATTTGAAATTCTTACATAGTAACATAGGTAATCATTTTTCTAAATGCATACCACTGTTTAAAAATTGTTACTTTCAGTATATTGTTTGTCTGTTTGACCAAATTTGTATTACAAAATAGGCGTATTTATCGTAAAAATTATTTAATATTACTGCAACACAAATGAGTCTCACACAGAATACCAGCGTCCGTTTGGTCCGTTTTCCTTCATGTGTTCAAAAATTTATATTAGAAGTTTTTAGAATGCTGACTCACCCTTGGTCCTGTTATGGCGTAGGCCACATGGGCCAACAGCAGAAATTGGAAAACACTGCCCCTCATGCTTCACTCTCAATAAATAGAGCGGCAGAGTACCATCACATACACCACAACGTCCCACAGAACTGTCCGGCGCGCACTGAATCCCCAAATTTTACACTAGCACCACACAAATATTCTATTTTTCAATTTTAAAGTACGCGGGAATTTATGCAGCAACTGACAGCGAAACTTTTCAGCGCGAAACGTTGACAGTTGTTTTTTTAATGTGGCAGTGGCATCAACGACGACAGTCTCTCCGCTAGTAAAACGTTTAGTGAACGGCGCTTCGTTTTACCACCCCTACTCCGTTCGCCCCTACTAGAAGTTTCGAAAGGAATCCGACGAACGAGTATTGGTTTAAATTATAAAACATCATTGAGAGATGTTGCATAAATGTTGTCAAAACGATTACTCAGTAAGTCAGTAAGACGTACGTAATATGGTAAATTAGATTTTTTCATATTGTCAAATTAGATTTAAAGCTAGAAGATGTAAGAGATTCCATCATTCCTTTTGAACCCGTTTGTGACGAAAGATGCAACTATTTGAAATGCCAGAAGTCTTATGACTTTTATTATATACAGGGTTTGTTTTTTCAAAGAGTAGCCAAATTTTAAACTTAATTTGAAATAAATAAATAATGATAAACTGTTATTGCAGTTTTCGAAAATACGAGTAAATAACGTTTCTACATTTATTTGAAATTTTTCCATTTTGAACGTGATTTATGGGCAATAACGTTTTTGCCTACCGATCGACCCTTACGAATGTGTGCGTGCGCAGGAAAATCAGTTAAAATAATGTATTACTACGCATTTTGAATTTAAAAGATAAAAAGGACAGAATGATTGAGATTTTTTTAAATTAATTTATCTTGAATAAAACTATTTTATTTTATTACGGATTTTATCGCGTTTAATTTACTATTTTAATTCCCGACGTTTCGGGTGCTTTACAGCAACCCATGGTCACGGGGGGGACTGAGATGTTTGACGTCACGATGTCACAGTTAGCTCGGCTACCTTCAGTTTTTTATAATATTAATTTTATTATTAATTTTTGGTTCGATTTACGCAGAATGAACTTACAGTATCTTGAAGTCTTGCAGTGGTATGCTTGGGTTTGGATTTAATTTTGTTAATTATAGGATCCCAAGCAGATGGCAGCGCCCATCCATATTCTCTATTGAAATTAGGATGTTTTTTTAATTTCAATACCCTCACGTATCATCCTTGGTAGGAATCGGTGTTATTTTGCAAGGATTTGTGGTCTATCAAATCTGATCTAATGGCGGGGACAATCTTGAACATGTTCACAGACTGCAGACTTCCCAGAGCGTCGGTGCTTCACGTCAACTATATGTTCTTTCACGCGGATTTTAATGGATCTTTTTGTTTGTCCTATGTAAGAGAGACCACATTCGCAATCAAGCTTGTACACTCCTGCATCTTGTAGAGGAATAGATAGGTCTATGACTTCTGGCATTTCAAATAGTTGTATATTATTGTAAGAAAATTAAATCCAAACCCAAGCATACCACTGCAAGACTTCAAGATACTGTATGTTCATTCTGCGTAAATCGAACCAAAAATTAATATTAAAAAAACTGAAGGTAGCCGGGCTTATCACTGCCAAGTATGCAGACGCGTGCAGCTGATCATGTATGACGGCTCAGGGTGTCTTGGTCACAGTGAGATGGGATCCTAAGCGGGAGATTGGAAGGAGAAACTTACAGTGGTCGCTTGGCATCGAATTCATTTACAAACCAACTACACGCTCCAGCTTCGCCTGAATAGGATCATAATGTGGCGTTATTTAGACTTTATATTATAGAAGACAATTTGTTTTTAAAATTTTTTGTATACTCAAGTTATATTTCTCAAGTTAAACTTTTTGAAAATTCAAGTTTTCGTAAAGTTCGTAAAGTTTCATTATTATCGGTTCAGCCATTCAGAAGATTAGCCCGGACAGACAGACAAACAGATTGAAAACAGAATATTTAAAAATGATCATTTATGTTTTAATAGCGTAGAAATAACTCCTGAGCTTAATATAGGTACTTACACCAGTAATTTCAATATCACAGACAGCCATTTCAATTTTATTTATATATTTAGATATTAACGCTATTTATACAGATCTTACTCAATGCATACATATAAACATTTTACTTAGTGTTTAATACATGTAAAGGGCCGATGCACTTTCTTGTTGATTATTAAAAGACAAGGTCTTTCCACTTTCTTGCCACTTTTGTAAAGTAGGTCAGCGCTTGCCATACGAAAGTACTGTTCAAGGTTAAACTGGAATAGATATCGTTTTATATACGAAAGTACTGTTCAAGGAATAGTATAGTTTTAAATTAAAAAAAAAGTTTTAGTAAAAAGTAAAAGCCTACTTCAAATAACTAAAAATATTTTAATAAGTCGGTGTCAAGACTTAGTGTGTAGAAGAATTAAAGAATGTAATTTTTTTTTAAGTCGACGTTTACTTTTTCTAGCTGTTCCCCGCGACTTCACCCGCGTTCAATTTAGGGTTTTAGTTTTTTTGCGCGGAACCCTAATTCTTTTTCTAAAATTAAAATAGCCTAAGTTACACCTTATAACATTAGCTATCTGCCAGTGAAAGTCCCGTCAAAATCAGTCCAGCCATTTCGGAGATTAGCCGGAACAAACATACAGACAGACCAAAAATTTAAAAATTATGTTTTTGTTATAAGTACCGTATACACTTTCGTATGTATTTAGTAAAAAGCTGTTATTTGGATATTACAAACAGACACTTCAATTTTATTTATTTGTATAGATTAAAAGTAATTTTTAAGTGAACTAAGAAATATCATAGCACACACACGTCGCACGTACACACACATACACACACACACACACACACACACACACACACACACACACACACACAGACACACACACACACACACACACACACACACACACACATATATGTATAAGTATATATGTATGGGGCCAGCCATAATAATTGACGAAGACATACATACAAAACACGCAGTCGAATTGTAAAACTCTTCCTTTTTTGAAGTCTGCTCAAAATAGGTGTTCTTTCATTCTTGGACTATAATTGAATGCCTGGTTACCTGCTGGTCACCGTCACTCGTCATATGCAACACAACAACATCGTTTTAAAGGATTTCGATCAATCGTTCATCCATTAATTATAGCTTATCTAAACTTCAACTTATTATACGTCAACTACTGAAATATAAGCCTCCCCCGTAGATATGGGCATGTGGGCAGGCGGGTTGGCAATCACTGTTTTTTATTATTTTTGAGTTGTGGGCAGCAAGATGCTGCTGCCCATATCCTGTATCAGTTCACCTCTAATGCTACTCTCGATCATAAACATCACAAGTGGTAATGTGTTTCTGGCCTCAATAACGGTACCAATAACTCAATAGCTATATAGCTCTATAGCAATGTTCGCGCAAAACACTTTCAAGGATTGACGCGAGAGGGCGCTCGGCGCGGTGCATTCATACCGGTTTGACTTTCGGTCGTGCGAAAAACGCCCAAGGGCAGTCAGTCGTCTTTAATCGGTGCTGACGTGAGCACGCGGTCCATTCTGTTAGGGAACTCGGAATAATTCGGCGCGGCCAGTAAATATACGGTCTATCATTGTGACGCGCATTCCTACTGGAGAGCTTCCCGGGACTTATTGTGTCTGACTCAAAACCTGCATAAGTGCATTCGGCAATATTAGATAGTGCGGCCTCTGATATTCTAGAATTAACTATTGCTTCGCGAAACGGTAGTGACCTTTGACCCTTTAAACTCCGTGTGCGTTTGTGCGGTAACCATTATACCCAGCGATAGTTAGTGGCTTCTGTAAGTTAGTAAATCGTACGATAGAGTTAAGTGACTGTCATCGTGACGAAAGAAGAAAGTGACTGTGGACAACCTCGAAAGGCGCCCTCAAGTTGGAGCGGTGTCGACGCTCGGGCTGCTGCCGACGGCCAAGGTCTAGGTTCAATAACCATCAGTCACACCCAGATACACACCACATCACCATTCTTTTCTTGCACTACACAACCACATGCGACCTGACCGACTCCGGAGGGACCAGTCGCCTTGGACAGGTAAGTAAGCTTCATCCAAATTCTTTCCGGTCGACTGGCCGTAGTATAACGCTCCCCCATATATTTTAATGTAATTAGGAATTTCCACGTGGCCACATTGGGGCCCGACCTACGTCTGTTCGGGAAATCTTCAGCTCATGGGCCCCTGAAGATTGGATCCTTTAAGGGAGCAGCCGTAGGCCGTAACAGCAATAACATCCAAATACTGTCGGAAGCTATCAATTGTACGATGCACTTATTCCTCTTTATCTAACTACCTGTGTCTAATGTCACTATAGTCACAGCACAACCAGACTTCACAGACCGTGTTAAGTCCACCGGGGAACCACGCTCTCACAGAATAACAGCGTAAAATAGCACCACCCTACCACTAATAAATTTTTATATTTTGTTTTATCTTTGGTTGAGATGTGAATTCAAGACGCTCGGCAAAATAGGTGGGTACAGTGATGACAGCTGCATGATCCAAATCACAGAATATTTTTCTTTATAATATTACTTTTTTTTTTCATAATTCGCGATCCAAACGATAGGTCAACGATTCAAACGACTAGTAAAACGAATTTGTGTTGCAATAAAAGAATTGCAATTCTTCCTTTTGCAACTTGTAACCTCAAATAAGACGGAAATCTTATGGTAAAATCATTAATCAAGCGAGATATCTTCGTTTTGAAACGTTAACGTAGCGTGAACACAATAGGCGGGGAACTTGGCAGTCCGACTATGGCGAAAATAATAGAGGTATATGTCTCAAAGCAACTTATTATGCCGCTACAATGGTTTAATACAATTTATACCCGCCAAAAAGATTTTGTAAACGTCGAACAAGTGTGTTTTTAGAACGTGGAGAATTGTCTAAAGAAGCGTTTAGGAATGGTTTACGCGGCTTCAGTTATGGTACCTACTCGTATTTTAAAAGTAACATGTTGCAATTTCCTGATTGCAAATGGGTACTGCAGTCTATCGATACCTGCAACTAAATTCAAACTAAGAGAACCGCAGCTGCTTTTTCATTTCTAAGGATTAAAATTACAATACTAACGGTCATGTTATTTCGGATTTGTTTACCAACACAAGCCGCTCGCATTCATATAATATACGAATCGGTCGAGTGTCTACGCGAGGCTATCGAAATTAAAATACATGTTAATTTCAATATAGAAGATGGATGGGTGCTGCCGTGTGCTTAGGATCCTATAATTAGCTAAATTAAATCCAAACCCAAGCATACCACTGCAAGACTTCAAGATTGTGTAAGCTCATTTTGCAATCGAACCATG